AACAACAATATTAGGTTTTACTTTTGTTGCTAAGTAACATGACATAAAAGCCATTGTTAGAAGGTAGTGTTACCAAAATGCACTGGCTTTTCTGTATAATAGAAGTTGTTAATCTAACAATAATTATTCTATGAATATGCTAGAAATTCTTTTCATGAATGATCCTAATTTTGATTGGCTCACAAAAGAATATACCGATGTTTGACTGCTTCGACTGCACCTTTCTGCCTCTTTGTTCGTTAAGCTTGATTTTGCAAAATTTATTTATTTCAGCTATGAAATGTGAGGCTAGGTATACTATGGGGTGGGGGTGGTAGTACTTGCCATATCATTTTTGATGGGCTATATGCTAATTAAAAATTAAAACTCAGTTTTATTCTTAGTAAATCATGTTTTAACCGTTTTTCCATTTCAGTATTTTAAATTGATACAGTAGGATACGTGTATTAGATAATTCTAGTTTGAGGACTTTAAGCCTAAAATAAATGATTATGTTACAAAATAGATTGTGCCAGTTGAAAGATGAGTAAGTCCATATTTAAGAACTTCCAGATGAGGGTATATTCTATTTGTTTATTTATTTAAATACAGAATGAGCACTCTGCGTGTATCTGTGTATTGAAACATGATGTTGTCATATAAGAAGTTGTACTTACTTCATCATGTTGTTGCATCATCTACACATTTTAAGACTACTAATCTATTTAACTAATCTTTGTGCACTCACTAAATTACTGGATGTATCATACTTTCCAGGCAAGTCCAGATACTTCAACCAGGATAGTGTATGTAGAACAAGTTATATTTGATCAAGTTGGATGAACATTATTTATAATATTCCTTAAATTAATTCTTTGTATATATATATATATTATCTGCTGCATTTTAATTTTAACTCAAGAGTCAAAGTATACATTGTATTAAAATCTCTGTTAAACAATAAAATATACTATAAAACTAAGTCATACAAATGATTGTATGAAATTAGCCTTATTTGAAAAAATAAACTTTGTATTTGTTCAAGCTGGTTATGCAAAGTACTTCTATATCTGTAAAGTTCTACATCCATTTACACTTTAATAAACAGTTATAGCTAAACAACACTGCATCGGCCACATTTTGTACACATGCCCATGTTTGCTTAGTGGTATGTCATAACTGGTGATAGATATATCACTGTATATAAACACTAATACTAGTTACATTAAATCATGACTTGTTCCATGGTATGTCATAGCTAGTGATAGACATACCACTGTTTTACACACTAATACTAGTTACATAATATCATGACTTGTTACATGGTATGTCATAGCTGGTGATAGATATATTACTGTATATAAACACTAATATTAGTTACATTAAATCATGACTTGTTACACGGTATGTCATAGCTGGTGATAGATATACCACTGTATATAAACACTAACACTAGTTACATTAAATCATGACTTGTTCCATGGTATGTCATAGCTGGTGACAGATATACCACTGTATATAAACACTAATACTAGTTACATTAAATCATGACTTGTTCCATGGTATGTCATAACTGGTGATAGATATACCACTGTTTTACACACTAATACTAGTTACATAATATCATGACTTGTTACACGGTATGTCATAGCTGGTGACAGATATACCACTGTTTTACACACTAATACTAGTTACATAATATCATGACTTGTTACACGGTATGTCATAGCTGGTGACAGATATACCACTGTTTTACACACTAATACTAGTTACATTAAATCATGACTTGTTCCATGGTATGTCATAACTGGTGATAGATATACCACTGTATATAAACACTAACACTAGTTACATTAAATCATGACTTATTTCATGGTATGTCATAGCTAGTGATAGATATACCACTGAGTTTGTGTGTAAACAATAATGCTAGCTACATTAAATCATGACTTGTTCCACTGATTTAAAAGGAACACTATCATGCATGAAACTGCCAAAAAACTGGGTCCATTTATTTAAAGGAATATAAATGGCACAAACAGGAATATGAATTAGGAACTAAATGTCTCTCATCAACATCAAAATATGAAGTTTGCACATGTATGTTCCACTTTTATCAGTCTATTAAAAACTAAAGTGTAGCAGCTACTTGGGGGGTCAACAGCCAGTGAGAACAGTCACAGATTGAAAGACCTACACTGCACATATGAGAATAATCATTTCAATATAACTGCAATAAAAAGCATGAAATAAAAATATATTCTACACTGTATTAACTACAGCAAGTACATTATACCAAGTTTTGTAAGTAATAATCATATCTAATTTACAAAATAATAAACATGGGGAGAAACAGTTCAAGATCACCTTGGTCAAGACCACAAATAAGTAAAACTCCTCACTTTTTAAGAAACATAGTACAACTTATGTGTTGGACAGACAAACATTATACAGCTAAGACTTTATACGACTAGGCCTTGTTTTTGTTAATAAAACAACCCAAGAAAAACTGATCATTAATATTCACAAGTAATGTTCCCAGACTTACACAACACCTACCTACAACAATTTGTACATAAGTAATGTTCCCAGACTTACACAACACCTATCTACAACATGTACATAAGTAATGTTCCCAGACTTACACAACACCTACCTACAATGATATGTACACAAGTAATGTTCCCAGGCTTACACAACACCTACCTACAACAATATGTACATAAGTAATATTTCCAGACTTACACAACACCTACCTACAACAATTTGTACATAAGTAATGCTTTCAGGCTTACACAGTACCTACCTACAATGATATGTACACAAGTAATGTTCCCAGGCTTACACAACACCTACCTACAATGATATGTACATAAGTAATGTTTTCAGGCTTACACAATACCTACCTACAATGATATGTACATAAGTAATGTTCCAAGGCTTACATAACACCTACCTATAAGGTCTATCAGTCTACAGCTTTGAACCACATTATTTCAAGTACATTTTCAATATTAAATATGTGTAGCTTGTAGTACAGAAATACTAAATATCTTTAAATGGAGAATGTTTCAGTTATATAATAAAATGCATTCCCTATTAAAACAAACTTCAATTTGAACTCCAGATATTCATGTTATATATTTTTAAGAAAAGAAGTTTAAACTTGGGGGGGCTGCTGAAAATCAGTCTGGTTTTTTATACAAACTATCTACACTGATTCTCTATTGTTTCCTGTTTTATTGACCATTTTTAAACAAACTGTCTACACTGATTCTTTATTGTTTCCTGTTTTATTGACCATCTTTAAACAAACTACTACACTGATTCTTTATTGTTTCCTGTTTTATTGACCATCTTTAAACAAACTATCTACACTGATTCTTTATTGTTTCCTGTTTTATTGACCATCTTTAAACAAACTATCTACACTGATTCTTTATTGTTTCCTGTTTTATTGACCATCTTTAAACAAACTATCTACATTGATTCTTTATTGTTTCCTGTTTTATTGACCATTTTTAAACAAACTATCTACACTGCTTCTTTATTGTTTCCTGTTTTATTGACCATTTTTAAAGAAACTATCTACACTGATTCTTTATTGTTTCCTGTTTTATTGACCATTTTTAAAGAAACTATCTACACTGATTCTTTATTGTTTCCTGTTTTATTGACCATTTTTAAAGAAACTATCTACACTGATTCTTAACCACTATATAACGCTTTGTCCCAGAAGGCCTCCACATTAGTGTGGTAAATAAATTTATAGTTTATTTGTTTTGAATTTCTCACAAAACTACATGAGGGCTATCTGTGTTAGCTATCCCTAATTTAGCAGTGAAAGACTAGAGAGAAGATGGCTAGTCATCACCACCAACTCTTGAGCTTCTCTTTTACCAATGAATAGTAAAATTGACCATCACATTATAACACCCCCATGGCTGGAATGGGGATTCAAACCCGCGATCTTCAGGTTGGAGATGGGTCCAGTATCTTACCCAAACATCATCAATATACATGTAGATCAGAGGTATGGAATCTTTTTAACAAATATCAATTTGGTTAAATATGGCAAATACACCTTAAAATTATGACAAGTGTGCCATAATCAGATCTGGGCAATCTATCAATTAATTAATCATTGGACTCATTAATCTGTTTCATTCAACTAATCAATTATTCTCACAAGATTTGGATAGTTGGAATAATCAGAAATGCTAATTTTGATCAGTAGATTATTTTCATTACAATCAATTTAATTGTAATTTTGTTTGACACTGACCGATGTAATTGTCGTTCATACATAATCGAGTTAACTGTTTAGCTGTAGTAATAATAATAAGGGTGAATTACCTAACAACATTTTAACATTAAAATCCAGTCATTTATTTTCACGAATTATCAACCATTAATCTACTTGTGGAGATGAAACATGAGTTGTTATACTAACAACAAAAATAATGAACTATACAAGGTACTACATCTGTTATTGATTTAACATAAACAAGATTAACTTTCTTCTTCTGAGCCTTTCTCATAAGATATGTTATCTATAACATCAAAATATTTTTATGTAAAAAATAAAAATTTCATCATTGTTCAAGTATAAGGTAAAAGTTATATGTGTATTAAACGACCATTACAAATCTTCCAAAATACTACATAAGCTATCACTACATCATGTTTGACTACATACAGAATAAGTATTTAAGAATGTAAAAGGATCTCATATTACAGCTAGATCAAACTACTTATTATATTAACAAGCTACTAAAAAAACATGAAAGGCTTTCTTTTTCTTTGGTCACTGACTGTAAAAAAAGAATAAAATTTACTTTATGGAATCTCTAGACATAGAAGAATGGTACAGACAGCACGGCTGCTTGGAGGTTCTCCACATTACCTCTCCGTTCGTTAATTAATTTTCCACAACTTCGTCCGACGAAACTTTAGTGACACAAGTCCTTACTTAATAAAACTGGTTTATTCTTTCCGAATATAACTTTATGATACACTTATTTTCAACATTCGCGCTAAAACAAACACTATAACGAACGAACGTTAACTTCAACAATACCCTGTGACTGCAGATCAATTACTCATTACCTACACACATTATTCCCCATCACGTTGTCACCCTCTTATATATACCAGACTACCCTATATCTAGTAATCTCCCGACAATTCACGAAGGTACAAGATATTTCCAGAAAGCAGGGGGCGTGACACTAGTCACGTGACCTTGCTGACGCAACAGTATGCTATATGTTAATGACCCATCCTGGTCAACAGTGGTTATATAATGTTCTCACAGACTAACCAACAATGGAGCATAGTTGTAACAGAGGGCTCTGTTTTGTTTGTTTTTTGACAATAATATACCAAACAGTCTACAGTGAAACCCACACTAGTTTATGCTGCTGTGTTTCAACAAGCATATCATTGAAAAGTAGCCTGGTTGTAACTTTAAAGAAGCCTTCCAATGTAGTTTCACACAACAGTTATCCCTTTTTTTGAAACGTTAAAAGTTCGTGCCTTGCTTGTGGTTCATATGTTCCTCTCTACTACAGTGAAGCTTCATGTCTGATAAATAAAACTTGTGGTTCATATGTTTCTCTCTACTACAGTGAAGCTTCATGGTTGATAAATAAAGTTTGTGGTTCATATGTTTCTCTCTACTTCAGTGAAGCTTCATGGCTGATAAAGCTTGTGGTTCATATGTTCCTCTCTACTACAGTGAAGCTGTACATGTCAAAAAATTAGCAAGTGAAACAAAACATAGGCCCTCCACCACCAAATGGCACCCCTGATGAGGAATCTTCTTACCTATGTGATTTATGCACCCTAAGATATTGATGATATGGGGATAATTTAAATAGAATATTGAAATTACAAACCATAGTTATAAACTTAAAACTTTTTTATACAAAATGTTTCTAGTTCTGTCTCTTACATGTAGCTACAATCTTGAACCTGTGTACATACATTCTGATTTCCTCCGTCATTAACAAATGGTATAGCGAACAGCATTACGAGCATGGTTTTGTGTCAAAGATTACTTTGATAGCTTATGAAAGTGTGTGTTCCATCGTTTCTGAGTTTTTTTATAACTGCCTTTCATTAGTGTTCAAAGTACAGTATAAGTTGTCTTCTGTCCAAGGCCTACTATAAGATATAGTTCACATCTCTGAAAGTTGTCCTTTGTCCAATTCTCTGTAAGATATTGTTTACATCTCTGAAAGTTGTCCTTTGTCCAATTCTCTGTAAGATATTGTTTACATCTCTGAAAGCTGTCCTTTGTCCAATTCTCTGTAAGATATTGTTTACATCTCTGAAAGTTGTCCTTTGTCCAATTCTCTGTAAGATATTGTTTACATCTCTGAAAGTTGTCCTTTGTCCAATTCTCTGTAAGATATTGTTTACATCTCTGAAAGTT